CAGGGCCCTAAAGGCCAAAGAATAACTAAACCAATGTCCTAAGTCGAAAACCAATGTGGCACAGTCTCACGTGCCCTGTACACAATGCACAATACCTGATTAAATAAGAAGAGAACTCAGTCGCATGGCAGAGGTAGGAATGCGTGGGAAGGCGGAAGGTACAGCTCACAGAGTAAACTCCAAGGGGGCACCCACACAACCAGGAAAGGGGTCATCAGGCTCAGAGGGGGAGTAACAGCACGACACCGGGCTCAATGGAAACCATCAAACGGGTACCGCCAGCTGAGAGGGGGGAAGGGCACTCACACAAGGGAACACGCATAGGGTGAGCCTGAAAGGAAAGAGAGGGGGCCATGCCGACATAGACATGTGGCCAAAAGTCGCGAGCAAAGAAAACGTACACTCGAGAGAAGGACGCGCAGCATAAGGTAAGGCAGAAGGGCGGCAAGCGGAGACAACCACATAGACAGGGAAAATAGGGGTCGTCATGCGACTGAAGGGTAAGCTCGAGGGTGGTGGATAGGTGGGAATGATGGGAACTGTGTAGCCAAAAAGTGAAGTAGTCCATTGATGAGTCTCCAGGCTGAAGTCGAACCGAAGTAGCCTGGATGAAGTAAGAGTACTGCAAAAACCGAGTAGAAGTCCGGAACACAGCGACAGGTACTTTGGTACTGAGGAGAAGCACTGAGGTCGAAAGTCGAATGTAGAAGCCGAAGTAGAAGCCGAATGTAGAAGCTGAAACCGGGAGTTGCTGCATAAGTGTCCAGGAATGGTAAAAGATAGAGAGCGTATGGGGGATATAGAACAGTCACAAAAACGAGAAGGAAGTCGATGGGTACGCTGAGGGCGAGAGGAATGAACTGCAACAACAGGCGGGACCACAACCACAGGGGAAGGAGGACCTGAGGCGGGTACCGGGGGAGCAGGCAGACCCATCGATGGAGGAGGGGGAATGTTAGTGGTCGCAGCGGTAGAAGGGTCAGTAGTAGAAGGACGAGAAGTAGAAGGGGAGGATGATGAAGGGAAAGGATGAGCACGATCGTAAGCACGCACGAAAGTCATAGCATACTTCAGGTGCTCAAGAGGATCCCAAGTAGACTCCTCGTCAGGTAACCCTTCCATCGAACGAGATACTCGAGGCGGGGAGGGTCACCATCAGTCATACGCCGGGATGCAATATCAGAGACGACAAACTCCTCGTGACCCTCAATGATGATGGGAGAGGGCCGAGGGTAAGGTCGACCGTGGAACTCGGGGGGAGACCGTCTGAAGGGGCGCAAAAGAGATATATTAAAGACATCATGTAAGTTAGCGCGGTACATGGAATCGGGGAGCTTCAATTTGAAGCTCACCGGACAGTCATGATTGGGTCCGGCAGGTGCAAGGATGGTGCATGGTCCAATATATCGACGTCTGAATTTCCGAAGTGTGTCAGCTTCGGGCTGGAAGTGACGTGCGTCGACAAGAACCTCGTCGCCAACTTTGAAGGGATGGTCGATGCGAGAGCGGTTAGTGGCCATGCGAGTCTGGGAGTGAGCAATGCTCTCGCGAGCCTTGCTAAGGAGSGCATCCATCTCCTTTACCCAGTCATCGAGGGCAGGGCATTTGGTGTCGGGATGGATCTGAGATGGACGAAGAAGGTTAGATGGGACACGGGGATGGTATCCCAAGTCACAGTACTAGGGAGACATGCCAGTGGCAGGGGAAATAGCATGATTATAAGCAATCTCTGCGTGAGCAAGATGCAGGTCCCAATCAGAGTCATTCTCAACAAACTTCTTGAGGATACTCCCAAGAGTTTTGTTGGTGACCTCGGTCTGTCCATCTGACTGGGRGTGATAGGAGGAGGAGAGGCGGAGCTTGGAGCCATAGATCTCATGGAGTCCACGCCAAAAATGAGATGTAAAGCGGGGATCGCGGTCAGAGACGATGCTGGTGGGAAGACCGTGATGGATGGCAATACGGTTGAAGTATAGGGAGGCGATGTCTTTGGCTGAACTAGCATACGTGCATGGGAGGAAGTGAGCATGCTTAGTCAACCGACAGACAACGACGAAGATGGCATCATGGCCTCGTGGGGTAGGGGGATGAAGTGGACTGATGAAGTCCATGGAGACAGAAGTCCAACCCTGAGTGGGAATGGGTAGGGGTTGAAGAAGACCGTAGAGGGGGTGATTGGGAATGTTGGCCTCTGGCAGATCCGAGAGGTGCGGACGTACTCCTTAGTGAAGGGACGACGGTGCTCCTAGTAGTAATGGTGGTAGAGGCGGTCAAGTGTGTTGAAGACACCAAGATGACCGGCGGCGCGCTGGTCGTGACACTCAGCGACGGCCCGAACACGGAGTTGACCAGTAGAGGGCACACATAAGCGAGGAGTACGGGTACCTTGGCGACGAAGCCAGTATAGGAGTCCAGAGGGATCGAGCTGGAAGTTAGGGATGGACTTGCCAGCCTGTAGGTCAGCGTAGATGGACTGAAACTCAGGGCACTGGGTGTATGCACGACGGTACTCATCCAGAAAGGCGGGGTGGATGGTGGGAGCTGAGATAGCAGATAGCTGACGATCCTCGCACTGAAGGTCGGGGCGGCGGGATAAGGCATCTGCAACAYGATTGCTTTCGCCAGAAATCTTCTTGATGGTGAAGTCGAACTCCGAGAGGTCACGCCACCAACGAGCCTGGCGAGAAGTGAGCTTAGGCTTCGTCTAGAAGGTGGCGAGGACAGAGTTGTCCATCAAAACGGTGAAAGTATGACCGTGCAAATGATGACGCCACTTCTTTACAGCGTAGACAAGCGCAAGGACCTCACGCTCGTCGGCAGTATAGTTACGCTCAGCGGGAAGTAGCTGTCGAGATAGAAAAGCAACCGGACACTCTCCATCGCGAGACTCGACTGTATCGTCATCAGCGACGTCAGGAATATAAGGGGGTGAGGCCCCTGGGGGGGTGAGCTCGATGGGTGCAAGATGAGCCACAGTCGCTGGAGGTGGAGGAGGGAAGCGAGGAATACGAGGGAGGCGGGAATCTGTGGAATCAGGAGGAGTAGGGGGGGCTGGATAGATCAGGGAGAGAACAGCTCCAATAGCAAAGTCAGATGCGTCGGTAGTGACGATGAATGAACGCGAGTAGTCGGGTAAGTGTAAGACAGAAGCTGACGTGACAAGCCGCTTGAGAGAGCGGAAAGCATCCTCGTGAGCTGGGGTCCAATGAAAAGGTAGACGTCCCCGAGTCACAAGGGTAAGCTGGGAAGAATGCTGCGCGTAGTTCTTAAGAAAATGACCATAGTAGTTGGCCAACCCAAGGAAACTACGCAGCGCAGGAAGAGAGGTAGGAGTGGGCCTGTCGACAATGGCCTGAATCTTCGAGTCGTCCATATAGAGTCCGTGCTCGAAGACCTGATGCCCAAGGAAGTCGACTTTGGGTTGAGAAAAGTGGCATTTGGAGAGCTTCGCATAAAACCCATGGTCGCGTAATCGCTGGAGGACAGTGCGAAGGTGGGTCAGATGCTCCTCTAAGGTACGACTGTAGACCAGGATGTCATCGATGTAGACTAGAACCGAGTCCTCAAGAAGGTCTTGGAACATCGTGTTCATAGCCGTTTGGAAGGTGGCCGGGGCATTACGGAGACCAAAAGGCATGACGGTAAACTCGTAGTGCCCAAAACGAGAACGAAAAGCGGTTTTAGGCTGGTCCTCCTCGGCTACGCGGATCTGGTGATGTCCGCTACGAAGATCGATCTTCGTGAAGAAGTGGTGGCCGGAGAGGCGGTCGAACAGATCATCCGCACGGGGCATAGGATAACTGTTTCTGACTGTATATTCGTTGAGACCGCGGTAATGGAGGCACATACTCGGTTTAATGAAGCCCTGACCAAGCAGCTCGTCAATTTGGCGTTTAAGTTCCTGGGCTTCGGGAACCGAAAGGCCATATGGGGCGCGATGTTGAATACGGTAGTTAGGTTCGAGTCGGATGTGGTGCTCGATATGGCGCATAGGAGGGATGCTGCTATAAGAGACAGTCGGAGGAAAAACATCGCGATACTCACAAAGGAGGGTCGCAACGCTAGGCTGCAAAGTCGATAGGAGGTTGTCAAACTCCTCGGCTGCAGCGGCGTCTGAAGCAGGGGTGGAAGGAGTCGGTATGGGAATAGCTACCGATGGCGCCTCCGTAGTACAAGATGCAAGAAGATGATATGAGCTAGCAGGGGTGAAGGGGGATGAGGGGGCTGAAGGATCAGGAGGCTTGGGGGGTTCAGGGAGTGGTGGGTCGAGCTCGACCAACTGAGCATCCTGATGCATAGAGTTACAGACAAGGAAATCCGTGATGTCGACAATGCAGAGTTCGGCATCAGGCTGACGAAGGATGTGGTGGAACTGAGTTGGTGTCAAGATGGCAACATTGACGGGAGAGGGGGATGTAGAGTCCGATTTGCCCAACAACGGAATACGGTATTGTTTCCCATCCTTGGTGTCGAGGACGAGGTCGTTGTGGGTCCAATCGGGGCCAATATGGGCAAACTGATGGGAATAGGCAGTACCGAGAACGAGATCATATAGGGTTTCCATGACATCGAAGGTCCACTTGTCATGGAACCGAGGGGCCTTGCGAAGGCTGTGGGGAATCCGCAGGGGGAAGGAGAATGGAAGATCAGGCACCACAGAATCGATGAAGGATTTGGCCTGATTGTTGCCAAGCATGACAGTGACAGTGGAAGGGTAGGCAGATGTATAGAGAGATGCCTCCTTAACTACGCGAGGATGGATGAAGTCGCTAGTAGAGCCAGAGTCCCATAGTGCGCGATACACTCTAGTAGAGGTCCCGAGGCGCACTGGAATAATCGGTAAGGTGCGATCGGGATTGTGTAGGCGCCGAGACATCGCAGCCAGGGTGCGCTCTTTAAGGCGGAGACGTTCCTGGTGGACCTTAACACACTCAAGGTCCTGGAAGTCGATGATATCCTCGGCTGCAACAAGGGAATTATTGCAGCGCACCGTGCAAAGAGCACGCCTAGTAGGAGGACGAGGAGGAGGAGGATCATGAGAGATGCTAGGAGAAGAAGTGGAGGCACAAGAGGGTGGGTCAGTGACGCTAGAAGCGACCAACGATGAAGTCAGGTCCGAGTCCTCAGAAAGAGTAGCAAGCGGCGCGAAGGTAGAATCGCAGGCGGGTATGCCTGCTACTGTGGGAGGATCAGGGGAGCGGGAGATCACCACTAGGTGGCTGCGGGGCGGGAGGTCGAGGGGGGGGGGTCAGGCTGAGGGCGGGACTGCTGAGCAAAGTGACGCTGGAGGGCGTCGGCGTAGGGGCAGCTGGACGAAGTGTGACCAGGTAGGCGACAACAGGTACCTATACCTCATGCACGAAAGTCCTCACTCTCTGCGATAGTCAATCGGGCGCGGGGGAAGGCATAACCCGATGGGAGGGGCAGCTGTGTGGCGGAAGAGCGGGTCCTCGATGAGGAGGGCTGGCGCTACCTCAGGAAAGCAGAGAAGGCGAGGGCGAGGTGCTTGTCTTGGTCCGGGTCATCGCCATCCACAAGGGACTGGGGGTCAAGTTCCTGGTCCGGGTCGCTATGGGATCCGTCCGAACCAGTACCCTCCTCAGCGCTCGACGACTCGCGGAGCATAGTCTGGACACGGCGGAAGAAGGCACGTCCAGGAACTCGGCGGGGACCTCGGCGAGAAGTGGAGAACTGGCGAGAGCGAGATGTGTCAGGGGCAGATGATGGAGCGGGAGGTGCGGCACCAGGTCCACATGTGGAGCCCACAAGAGGTGCATAGGTGAGCTGGATGGCCCTGGCAATGTTGAAGGCCTTGAGGAGGGTATGGACCGTGTATGCCAGCATCTGAAGCTGGAAGGGTTGGGGTAACCCGACATGGAAACGCTGGACCAAAGCGTCGTCGGCTATGAGGGAGGGGGGGATCTGGGCGCGAACGCGGTGGAATGCCGTGATGTACGACTCTAAGGCATTGTTGCCACCAAGTCATCTGATCTCAGCGATCCGTGTGATCGGGTCACGGGTAGGCGCCGGGCGAGAGAAGTACTGCTGGAGAAAATCATGAAACTCCGCGTACGGCATACTCGCGTGAACGCCCTGCTGAGTACAAAGGGCGAGAAAGTCGCGCCAAATGGAAGCCGCTCGACCGATGAAGCGAGCAGACATCTATGTAGGCCACAAGTCCATGTTTACCCCATGGTACCGAAGTTGCTCCTCGGCTGTGGTGATCCAGCCCTGGAGTTCAGAGGCCTTACCATCGAACTGGGGGACTCTGTCGGGGTGGTACGGAGGTACATAAGGCGGGGGCTGGTAATGAGGAGGGAGGGGGAGGGCACACTGTGACAAGAGGACAAAAGAAGTAGTGGCACCAGTAGAATCACTAGAAAGAGCGGGGAGCTGGGGCAACGGTCCCTGACACATCATGGTGGCTGGTGGTGGGAGTGTGAAATGCATCTCAGCGGCCGGTGTCTGATGCTGTCGATAGATGAAAGGGGCAGCAGGCTGTGCCGC